CACTTCTCTCTTTTTAAAGCACCACCATCTTTTCTAATTTCCATCTTCTCTCCAAAATCCCATCCCCCTTTCCACCCCACAGCCAGCCTTCGAAGTCAATGATGCCCATTCCTGTTTCAGCACCTGCTGCCCAGCAGAGAGTTCAAGGCCTCTGGGGATATTCTATCTGCACTGCCCAACACAGGAGCCAGCAGTCCCCAGCGGCTGCTGTAGCACCTGAAATGTGGCTGGTGTGACTGAAGGAGTAAATTGCAAATTGTATTTGGTGTTGGCTAGTTTACATTTAATTTTAAATAGCCACTGTGCTGAGTAGCTGCCTAGCTCAGATGTCCCGTCCCTCACTTCCCTCCCACACTGGCTCCAGGACCGCTCTCCTCCTGAGGCCGCCCCTTGCTCCTGACCTGCCTCTGACACTCGCCCCACATGACCGCCCGGGCTCTGTCTGCAGCCCTGAGCCCGGATGGTGTGAATCAGAAGCGCCATCAGCCTTGTCCTGCAGGCTGGTCTTACAGCCCTGGCCACGCAGCCTGAGTCCTCCGGGGTTTCACACTCTCCCCTCCTCTGGCTGGTGCGCTCCACGGCTCGACTTCAGAGCCGCTTCTCCACCCCTATGCCTTCCACCTCGGGGCTTCTCTCTGGAGCCCAGGCCTGCCCGACCACCGTCCCCACTCCAGCCACTTCACCAGTCCTGCCGAGACCTTTGGAAACCACCCGCCCCCAACAGCACGGGAAAGATTTGGGAGAATTTAGGTAGCCCCAGAGCGATCTTCCTAAAAAAAGATACAGGGAAAATACAACGCAACAGCAACAGGTAGTGAGAAGAGAAGAGATGGACCCACTAACAAAAAAGGAACCAAGCATCCCCTATTTCCCTTTTCCTTTACTATGAGGACACGATGTGCTATCAACAGATTTTTAAAATATCCTAGGGAGCCAAGCACAAATCTAGAACTTGCCACCAGTGAAAGGCTTGCCTTGAGGGTTGCAAGGGCTGAAGATGCACTAAGAGCTAAGCTCCAGAACACCCAGGCCAAGGAAGGCCCAGCCCTGAGGCCCAAGCTTGAGCCAGAGGACGGGCCAGTGCCCAGGAGCCCACGGGAAATGTGGCTGCCGTGTAAGCGGACCAGCCTGCTCTCTGTGTAGGTCATTCTGAACTCTATTAAAATGTCTGATCAAACACCAGGGTGGTGAGAGGACCCAAGGGTTTGGAGGCACTCGGTGCTCCGGAAGGATTTAGACAACAGCTACACTCCCAGAACCTAAATTCCTGGGGAGGACTTGGGCAAATGGCATACAAGTCCACCTTCCCCCCACGAATGGCAACTAATACTTCAGGGGCAGCATTTCGTTCATGTGCTGAGAGCTTGGCCAGGGTACTGGGAAGCAGAGTTGTTTCTCAGTGGCGATTTATGTGTGAATGAATGAAGGCGAGGGTGGGGCAGGCACAGAGGGCTGAGGGGCTGGTACTTAGGCAGGTGCACCGGTGGCACCAGGTCTCAGCAGGAGTTAAACACACAGCACCGCAAGCAGAGAAGACCCAGTACAAAGAACAAGCGGGGCAGTAGGGGTATTTGCTAGAAAGGGGGAAAATATAATCTCAGACTTGAGTAAGCTCACTTAATTCTGTGAAAATAATATTACTTTCCTTCTGTGTGCGTTTATTTCCGTATGAAGCTGACTACATGTACACAAATACACACACTCGTGGGTGGAAATATGAGTTTAGTTATTTTCTGCTGCTGCTATCATGTGTGTGTCTGTCTGTGAGTATGCGTTTAATGACGGTAATACCATTTTGAAAAGTTAAGACGTCTTCCATTCCAACACCGTGCTGCAAAGGGCTGAACAGGGATGTCTACAGAATCCATCAGTCCAATTCTGCTGGGAATTAGGGTTTACGTTCACTACAAAAAATGATTCCAAGATAAATACATTTCTTTCTTTCTTTTTTTTTTAAGTCCTGGATGGTGATGTATCCTCTTTCCAATACAGAAACAGGGGAGCCTGGCTCTGTTTAGTTTGTCTGATTGCTTTTAAGAGGAGGGACAGGTTGGCTCCGAGAAACCATGGTCCTCTGTTCATTAAAGTGTCAATAATGCCCGGTCCAGGCATATCGACAGCAGATTAGCTCAGGCTGAGTCTGTGGACAAGACCAGAATCTTTTTTAACCCAGCTTGTTTCCAGATCAATACACCCATCAGCATTTGAAAATTAGCCCAAGATGAGATTCTGATACTTGAGGTGGTATGTCATGCTCAGAGGCCACCTTGCCAAGCCACAGGTGTAAACGCCTAGCTGGGGATTAGACACTTTCCATCCCCATGGATACGAGTGAGGATTGATGTAGACCCCATCCTCCACGCCCTGCCCCTCCC